GAAGCAGGCTCCCAAGGGGCAGGGAGCCCGATGCGGGACTCGATCCCAGGACCCCGGGATCATGACCTGAGCCGAAGGCAGACGCTTAACCATCTGAGCCACCCAGGCGCCCCCAGGCAAATTCTCTTGATTTACATTCCTTTCAGTGCACCAAAAGTTCAAATGATTCTTGTGGATTATGACATCTTGCTGTTAGTAAACCATATCAAATTATCTTCGGATAACTCTGCCTATTAATATTTTCATCAATAGGTATTTATCATCTTTGGAAATTCTGTAAAGGGAATCCACACATCCTGCAGAGCTTCAGACATTATTTTTCAAATTGTAGGTCACGACTGAGTGGGTCATGAAATCAGTTTAGTGGGTCCTGATTACTATTATTTTTTAAAGATTTTATTTTGGGGGAGGGGAGAGGGAGAGAGTCTTAAGCAGACTCTATGCTGAGTGCAGAGCCCAATATGGGGCTTGATCCCACGACCCTGAGAAAATGACATGAGCCAAAACCAAGAGCTGGTGGCTTAACTGTGCCACCCAGGTGCCCCCTGATTAGTATTTTTATTTTTTATTTGTATTTTTAATTTTTAAATTTTTATTCTTTGGTTTTTTTTTAAGGTTTTATTTATTTATTTATTTACTTACTTACTTACTTATTTATTTATTTACCTGAGAGCATGAGAGCACAACCAGGGGGAGCAGCAGAGGGAGAGGGAGCAGACTCCCCACTGAGCAGGGAGCCTAATGTGGGGCTTGATCTCAGGACTCTGAGATCATGACCTGAGCTGAAAGTAGCCGCTTAACCAACTGAGCCACCCAGGTGCCCCTATTTGTATTTTTTAAAGATTTATTTATTTAAGAGAGAGGGGAGGGAGGAGAGAGAGCACGCATGGGGTGGGGTGGAGAGGGACAGAATGCCAAGCAGACTCCCCACCAAACACGGAGCCCCACACAGGGCTGGATCCCAGGACCCTGAGATCACCATCTGGCCAAAATCAAGAGTTGGATTCTTAACCAACTGAGGCACCCAGGCACCTAATTATTATTTTTAAAATGAGATAAAGGAAAATATCGAAGTACATCATATGCAGTAAGAATCTACACTCTCTTCCATGGTGAAACTTACCCGGTCTGTGACTTGAAATCCCATGTATGACTCCCAAATTTCTATCTCTAGCCCAGTGCTCTCTCCTAAATGCCATGCTCATTTAGAAAGCTCCACTTGGCTGTCTACTAGACATCTTAAACTGAACGATGAACCCTTGATCATCTTTCCCAAAACAGCTCCATCTGCCGCGCCCCCAGGTGATGGTAATTTCATCCTTCTTAGGCCTGTATCCCCAGAGCCACTTTTTACTTCTGTCATTCTCTAACACAGCACATCTCATCTTTCAGGGAATGCTATTAAGTCTACCTTCAGAATCTAGCCACTTCTCATGATCCTTTCCACTACCACCCTGGTCCAAATTATCATCACCTCATCTCTCACCTGGATTAATGCAAGAGCCTCCCAACAGGTTTCTCTAATTACACCCTTTCTTCTCCTATAGCCTATTCTCAACACTGTAGTCAGAGTGATCTCTTGAAACAGGAGTCAGCAAACTTTTCCTGTAGAAAGTCAGAGAGTAAATATTCAGGTTTTTTGGGCCAAGAGGAAAATCAAGGCTATTACAGAGGTATTTCTACAAGAGAAGACAAATTTCTAAAAAATGTTTGATAAAATTAAAAAATAATAATTGAGGGCACCTCGGTGGCTCAGTTGGTTAAGCGACTGCCTTCGGCTCAGGTCATGATCTTGGAGTCCCGGGATCGAGTCCCACATTGGGCTCCCTGCTCAGCGGGGAGTCTGCTTCTCCCTCTGACCCTCCCCCCTCTCATGCTCTCTCTCTCTCTCTCAAATAAAAATAAATAAAATCTTTAAAAAAATAATTGAGTATAATTTTTTGTAATACAGATCTACTTTTAAAAAGTATTTGAGAGAGAGAGAGAGAGAGAGAGAGCACGTGCGCACGTAAGTGGGGGGAGCGGCAGAGGGAGAAGTAGACTCCCCAGGGAGCAGGACGTGGGGCTTGATCCCAGGACTCCAGGATCATGACCTGAGCCAAAGGCAGACGCTTAACTGACTGAGCCACCCAGGTGCCCCACAGGTCTACTTTTTTTTTTTTAAAGATTTTATTTATTTATTTATTTTGAGAGAGAGAATGAGAGAGAGAGAGAGCATGAGAAGGGGGGAGGGTCAGAGGGAGAAGCAGACTCCCTGCTGAGCAGGGAGCCCGATGTGGGACTCGATCCCGGGACTCCAGGATCATGACCTGAGCCGAAGGCAGTCGCTTAACCAACTGAGCCACCCAGGCGCCCCCGACAGGTCTACTTTAAAAAAAATTTTTTTTAGCAATTTCTATCCCCACCTTGGGGCTCGAACTCATGACCCTGAGATTAAGAGTCACATGTTCCTCTGAGCAGGCCAGGTGCCCCATGTAATACAGGTCTACTAATGAGAATGGAATTTTTTTTTCATTTTAATTTTAAGATTTATTTATTTGGGGGGGCAGAGGGAGAGGAAGAGAATCTCAAGCAGACTCCCCACCAAGCACAGAGTTCCACATGGGGCTCAATCCCAGGACCCTGAGATCATGACCTGAGCTGAAACCAAGAGTCAGATACTTAACTGATTGAGCTATCCAGGCACCCCTCTTTATTTAATGGATTTTGCTTAATTGGGGTTCAAAGCAAGTGTTCCCTATCATCAAATCAACTGTAAATGCTTACCTGTAAAAACCATTCTTAGCTGATGGCCATATAAAAACAGGCAGCAGGATGGATTCACACTGCAGCTGTAGTTTGCTGACCTCTGCTTTAAAATATTATCAGATCGTATCATTGTCTCAGAACCCTGTGAATTAGTTTCCTTCTGCTGTGTAACCAAAACCACAACTTCAGCAGCTTAAATACCCATTTATTATCCTCACGGTCTACAGATCAGAAGTGCAGGTGAGCTTGGCTGAGTTCTCTTGAGTAGGGTCTCACAAGGCTGAAATCAAGGTGACCTCTTATATGGAAGACCTGGGAAAGAATCCGCTTCTAAGGTCATTCAGGTTTTTGGTAGAAGCCAGTTCCTTACAGTTGTAGGCCTGACATCCTCAGTTCCTTGCCGGTTATTATCCAGGAACTACTTTTAGCTTACAGAGGCTTCCTGCATTCCTTATATGGTCCCCCTCCATTTTCAAAGTCAGCACAAGCACATTCACATCTCATGGTTTGAATCTCTTTGAGGTTCCTTTATGCTACCAGCTGGAAAAAAATGCTCTTTAAAGATGTCACCTGATTAGGCTAGGCCCACTCAGATAATTGTATCTCAAGGTCAACTGCTGGTGGGGGGCATCAGTTTTAGAAGTCTGCCTACCCGACCCCGCAATAATTTCCTACTCAGAGTCAAAAGACAAGGCACTTAGGAGGGCCAACATGATTTGTGCCACCTGCTATGCCCCAATCCCCATGCCTCTCTACTGTTATTTCCTGCTCTTCTCCCTCTGGCTTATTCTGTTCACTCACACTAGCTTTCTTGCTATTTCTTGAACATGCCACACACTCCCAACCTGGGATCTCTGTGTGGAGTACTCTTCTCTCAAATATCTGATTTGTTAGCTTCCGTATCTCCAAGACTTTGCTCAACTTCCAACTTTTTTTTTTTAAGAGAGAGAGAGAGAGAGAGAGAGAGAGAGAGAGAGAGAGAGCGCACCCAAGTGTGGAGGGCCAGAAGGAGAACAACAGAATCTTAAGCAGGCTCCATGCTCAGCATGGAGAATGATGGGGGCTTGATCTCACAACCCTGAGATCATGACCTGAGCTGAAATCAAGAGTCGGATACTTAACTGACTGAGCCACCCAGGTGCCCCTCAACTTCCATCTTTTCAATGAGACCACATCTGATCACACTATTTAATACTACAATCTGCACTCCCACTCCTGGCACTGCCTATTTCCCTTACCCTGTTCTATTTTTTTTTCTATTGTACTTAGCACCTTTAACTACTATATACTTTGCTTATTTATGTTTATTGTCTGTCTCTCCTTGCCAGAATTAAGCTCCTCAAGGGTAAGGATCTGTGTCTTTTTATTTTATTTATTTTTAAAGATTTTATTTATTTATTTGACACACACTGAGAGAGAGAGCACAAGTAGGCAAAGCAGCAGGCAGGAGGAGAGGGAGAAGCAGGCTCTCCACCAAGCAGGGAACCCAATGATATGGGATGTGATCCCAGGACCCTGGGATCATAACCGGAGCCGAAGGCAGCTGCTTAACCGACTAAGCCACCCAGGCGCCCCTGTGTCTATTTTTTATTCACTAATGTATTTTTCTTTCTTTTTTTTTTTTAAGTAAGCTCCACTGCCCAATGTAGGGCTTGAACTCACGACCCTAAGATCAAGAGTCACATGTTCTACTGACTGACCCAGCCAGGCACCCCTCACTAATGTATTTTTTGTGCTCTAAGCATCTAGCACAGTGGCTGGCACCAATAAAAATTCACTGGGTGTTTTGGGAAACTCTTGTTTCTATTTTCTATATATGTATGTACATACTAGGTTGTGATAATAAAATAGTATTTATTACTGAGAATAGTCAAGAGAGTTTGAAAAATACTGGGGTTAGACTGTATGACTTCTTAAGTCCTTTCTCAATTTGAGCACTTATAAATTTCTATGTGTAGCTAGTAAATGTCCACTATATCTTTTGGGAGATGGCAAAGTTCACAGTCTAGTTTCTGTAGCAAGGCATTGAATACTGAAACATAACACTGACACCAAAAAAGCCATTACATCCCTGCCTGTTCTATAATAGTAGGTTAGGAAAACCTGGAAATAGCAAGAACTGCTGAATGACCTAAAATATAAAAATCTGAACTTAATCCTTCCATGAAAAGGAGACAGAACTTGAGAGCAAATGACAAAACAGAACATTTCTTAGATCAAAATTTCCCAGGTGAAAGCTTTCACACACTTACTGAAGAAGCGAAGAGGAGTGAAGAAAGATCTCCCTTAAAGTGTCTGCCGTAGAAATTGTGTCCTGAATGGACTTTGGGAGCAAAGACCACTTCTGAAATATATATGATTTCCACTCATCCACAGGCAGATCCATTCTACTTTAGGTCTATAAAATGAATAAGAAAATAAGGAATTCAGATTTCTACAAATGCACAATTCCAGAAAAAAAATCAAGATTTCACTCAAGCAAATGTGAAGCAACAAAATCAATTCTTGTGATCTTTTTCCGTGGTTTACATGCTGAGGATCTATTTTCTCTCACACCTATTCACTGAACATCGTTTTATTCAGAAATATTTACTGAAGGCCTACTTTGTTCCACACACCAGGCTTGCCTCTTAGACCTCCATCTTCCCAAGCTCAAGTCAGAAACCTGAGACATCCCAGATTTTTCTCTCTCTCCCTAGCTACTATTAAATTAACAAAACGTTTCTATCTCTTACACAGTTCAGTTTCTTCTTTCAATCCCCAGATCATTCCTTTAGTTCAAGTCCTCACCATCTCTTGTCTGGCATCCTTTCCAGGATCATAACTAGTCTCCATGTCCTCAGTTCCCTACCCTACCCCCTAAATTCAATTCATCCTCCACACTGAGACAGATGTCAGTCATCTGCCTTAATCAATGCTCCTCCAAGCATTTAGGGAAGCCCAGTACAAATCTGACCCCTGGGCTCATTTTCTAATGCCCAAGTCTCACCTCTTCCTTTGTACCCTACTATCCTGAGCTACTTAAAGCTATCCCCAGCTTGCCAGGCTATTCACCTCTCTAGTTTTTGCATAGGCTATGCATTTTTCCGGGAGCATCCCTACCCTCAGAGTCCACCTCGCAAATCTGCACACATCCTTCAAGACCAAGTTCAAATGGCACCTCCTCCAGGAAGCCTTCCCTGATTTTCCATCTGTGCGTGCAGACACTTTGTGTCTCTCCTGAGGTCCATGTCTACCTGGAGTTAGGGCTACTCACTGCGGTAACTCCCTCGACAGACTATGCTTTCCTCTGAGAGCAGGGACCGGTTCCTATTTACCTTCGGAGATCCCCACTGTGCCAAGCTCAGGGTCTAGCAATGGCGGGAGCTCGGCACTCGGGTTGCTGAAGGAATCGTTACTGCTTTGCCTATGGTTAGCAGCAGAGCTATCAGGGAACAGCTCTAACTCTCTCTTGGGCTAACAGTCGGTCTGCCCGTCAAAGGCCGAGCCAGGTTTTTCTCGGAAAGCTTCCGGTACAGGACCTCGCGCCCGGAGAAAGAACCCGCGTCATCCTTGGCGCGCCCCACGGCTCGGGCCCCGCCCCCAGGCGCAGTCGTCGGGTGACTAGGTCCTGAACCCGGGCTCTTGCATGTCACGTGGGCTACCTCGGCCAATGCGGTGTCTGTTCCGCCCCTAAGCCCGCCCTTGTGACTTGCGCATGTCAGAAGGCGGGGGTGGTGCCTGCAGACACTTGGGCCAATAGCTTTGGAGCGCGCGGGGTCCCGTGAGTGAAGCAGAGGCTGCGGAGAAGCCGGAGCGCGGGAGTTGGCGCGGCGCAGTCATGGTGGGCCACCTGAGCGAGGGGGCCATTGCGGTGAGGAGACGCCTGCGGGCAGGCGGGCTGGGGTGGCGGTGGGCCCTGTGGTTGTGGGGGTGGAGAAGGGAGAGAGGAGCTGGAGGCGATAGGGAGAGGACGCGGGAGGAGAAGATCAGCGGGGGGGGACCGTCGGGTGACTCCCAAGAATTCTCACCCTCTCCTCGAATTTTTACTGTCGTCTTTTAAATATGTCCATCTTTTTTTCTACTTAAGAAAACGAAGCAAAATTAACTTGATCGTCCCCCATCACCCTCCTGCGGCCACTCCCTATCTCCTCCCCGTCCCCTATCCACAGCCAAACTTCTCGAGTTGTCTGTTTTCAGCTCACCTCCCGTTAACGGACTCCAATCCGTTGTTCCCTCGATCACTATAGAAAGAACCCTCGGAAAGAACCCTGGCAGAAGTTAGCAGTGCTTCCAAGTCGTTAAATCTAACAGACACTTTTCAGTTTTTAACTTAACCAGAGTTCTCAGTAGTGTTTGAGAGTTACTTCTTTTGAGCAGTTTTGAGCATTACTTCTTTCCGATAACACTCTTTTTGGCTTCTATGGCTTGGCTTGGCTGGTCTTTCTTCGTTTTATTTGCCGGTCCCTCATTGTAAGTTTTTGTTTACTCAAGGTTATGTTCTAGGTTTAGTCAAGGTTATGTTTTAGGCCCTCTTCTACCAAGACAATCCCATTACCAACTATGTCAGTTGCTCACACATTTCTTTGTCCGGAGCCCCCTTTATTCTGAAAGATAAACCTCTGTAATATGCCTGCCTACCTGATACCTCAAAGGCATTTTATATTCAACATGCCCCAAAGCAAATCCGTTATTCTACTAAGTTTGGGCCTCTTGGTGTTCCCTATCTCGATGAATGGCACCATTATCCATTAAGATATGCTAGCCAGAAATTGTGGAATCATTCTTCCTGCAAACTTCCATCACCTTAGATGTTCAGTCCATCACCCAGTCTGGTGTTTTACCTCCACACATACCTCTTAAATCCATCTACTTCTCTTCTTCCACTCTGGCACCATTGTTTTTTGCCTGGACTACTGACTTCCACCCAGCATAACCTCCCCTACCACGCCCACACACCTTCCCATCACTGCATATTCCCACTTGTTCTCTCTTCGTTTCCAACCTTTTTGTTGTTTTTTTTATTTTTTAAATTTTAACTCCAGTATAGTTAACATATAGTGTTCTGTATGGTTAGCAGCAGAGCTATCAGGGTCTAGCAACCGCGGGAGTACAATATAGTGTACAATATAGTGATTCAGCGATTCTGTACATTACTCAGGGCTCATGAAAAGTGTACTCTTTAATCCCCTTCGCCTATTTCCCCCATCCCCCCCACCCACCTCTCTCTGGTAACCATCAGTTTGTTCTCTATACTTAAGAGTCTGTTTCTTGGTTTGTCTCTCTCTTCCTTTTTTTTTTCTTTGCTCATTTGTTTTGTTTCTTAAACTCCATGTATGAATGAAAGCATACGGGATTTGTCTCTTTCAGACTGACTTACTTTGCTTAGCATTATACTCTCTAGCTCCATCCATGTTGTTACAAATGGCAAGACTTTATTCTTTGTTATGGCTGAATAATATTCCATTGTGTATATGTAACATATCTTCTTTATCCATTCATCTACCAATGGACACTTGGGCTGCTTCCATAATTTGGCTCTTGTAAATAATGCTGCAACAAACATGGGGTGCATGTATCCTTTTGAATTAGTGTTTGCATATTTTTGGGTAACTACCCAATAGTGCAATTACTGGATCCTAAGGTAGTTCTATTTTTAACTTTTTGAGGAACCTCCATACTGTTTTTGCACCTGTTTGCATTCCCACCCAACAGTGCACGAGGGTTCCTTTTTCACATCATCCTTGCCAACACTGTTTCTTGTGTTGTTGGTTTTAGCCATTCTGACAGCTGTAAAGTGATATCTCACTGTAGTTTTGATATGCATTTCCCTGATGATGAGTCATGATGAACATTTTTGCATGTGTGTTGGCCATCTGTCTGTCTTCTTTGGAGAAATGTCTGTTCGTGTCTTCTGTCCATTTTTTAATTGGGTTATTTGTGTTTTGGGTGTTGAGTTGTAGCAGTTCTTTATATATTTTGGATATTAAGCCTTTATCAGATCTGTCATTTTCAAATATCTTCTCCCATTCCGTAGATTGTCTTTTGGTTTTGTTGACTGTTTACTTTGCTGTGCAGAAGCTTTTTATTTTGATATAGTCCCAGTAGTTTATTTTTGCTTTTATTTCCCTTGTCTCAGGAGACCTATCCAGAAAGATGTTGCTATGGCTGATGTCAGAGAAATTACTGCTTCTGCTGTCTTCTAGGATTCTAATGGTTCAGCTCTCACATTTAGATCTTTAATTCATTTTGAGTTTGTGTTTGTGTATGGTGTAAGAAGGTGGTCCAGTTTCATTCTTTTGTGTGTTGCTGTCCAGTTTTCCCAAAACAATTTGTTGAAGACTGTCTTTTTCCCATTGTATATTCTTTTCCTCCTTCATTGAAGATTAATTGACCATATAATTGTGGGTTTATTTCTGGGTTTTCTGTTTTGTTTCATTGATTTGTGTGTCTGTTTTTGTGCCAGTACCATACTGTTTTGATGACTATGGCTTTGTAATATAACTTGAAGTCTGGAATTGTGATGCCTCTGGTTTGTTTTTTTCAAGATTGCTTTAGCTATTTGAGGTCTTTTGTGGTTCCTTACGAATTTTAGGATTATTCTAGTTCTGTGAAAAATGTTATTGGCATTTTGATAGGGATTGCATTAAATGTGTAGATTGCTTTGGGTAGTATAGACATTTTAACAATATTTATTCCTCTAACTCGTGAGCATGGAATGTCTTTCCATTTCCTTGTGTCTTTTTTCTTTTTTTTAATATAAATTCCTGATATATTCCATACTCTTGCACATTCTTTTCCCATCTCCCTGTGTGGTTCTTCACTCTCCGCTCCCTGGCTAACAATCTTCAAATTTCAGCTCAGTTAGTTCTTCAGAGAAGCCTTCCTTGACTTACTAGCCTAATTCCCTTTATTTTGAGACCCTCACTCCTGCTTGTTCACTTATTAGCTGTGTGACTTTGGGCAAGATACTAAACTTTGCCTTTCTCTTCTGTAAAATGAGGGTAATGATACCTGGTACCTATTGCCTAGGGTTAGTGGGGGATTAGGTGAGCTATTACATTTAAAGTGCTTAGTCCATGCCTGGTACACAGTAAATGCTCAGTGTATGTTATCTCTTATTAATAATCGCAGATGTAATTTTATACTTACTTACTTTTTATTTGACTAATATTAGTTACCTTCTGTCTTCCCCACTGGATTGTAGATTCTTTGAGGCCTGGAATTACATCTTTTTTTGCTCAAAATAGTCTCCTAAATACCTGGAGCAGTGCTGGCAAGTTTTAGGTATCTAGTAAATGTTTGCTAGTTGCATATGAGGCAGTGAAAAGAAAGGGACAGAGATGAGTGGGGAAGAACAGTTGGCAGAGTAGAGTGACTATTTGAATAAATTAGGAACAATTAAATCTGAGAAGGGATTGAAAATTGTAGTTCTCATTTATTTATAGCTGCTACCTTGCGCTTTAAAAAAAAAAAAAGATTTATTGGGATGCCTGGGCAGCTCAGTGGGTTGAGTGTCTACCTTCGGCTCAGGTCATGATCCTGGGGTTCAGGCATGAAGGCCCGCATCAGGCTCCTTGCTCAGTGGGAAGCCAGCTTCTCCCTCTGCCTGCTGCTTCCCCTGCTTGTGCTCTCTCTCTCTCTGACGAATAAATAAATAAAATCTTTTAAAAAAATTTAAGAGAGAGAGAGCAAGAGCGCGTGACTGAGCCACCCAGGCGCCCCACCTTGTGCCTTTAAGACAAATTAGGAATTGTTCTTCACTTTTATTTATTTTTATTTTTCTTGTTCTTCACTTTTAGAAAGAATGGTTATGGTGTTAATAATTTGATTGCTTGGTTTTTGCTGTATTCAAAACTTTGGAAACATATTTCCAGTGTTAGGTCAAGTATTAAGTTTTATTCATAAATGGCAAAGAAAATGTTTGTGTTTGTGGTGACAGTGTGGAGGACCTTTGCCAACTCTGATTATCATCAGCTAAAGCAAGTAGTATCATTTCAGTTCAAAAGACACAGGCCCAAAGGGTAAGCAACTAACACATAAATAGTAGAGGCATTTGAGGCAAGAGCTAATATCATAAAAGAAGAGATTATGCATGGAAGTATTGTGGTAAATCGAATAAATAGCATTTGTATCTTAATTTATTGGGTAATATAAAGAAAAGGGAAAGGAACTAATATTTTTGCCTTTTCCAATGTGCCAGACACTTTATCTATAATAGTCAGTACTTACAGTAACCCTGTAAGGTAGATTTCCATAATTACCTGCATCTCACAGATGAAGAAATTAAAGTGCAGAGAAGTTAAATAATTTGTCAGTGGGGTGAAGATTTGAATGCATGTGCCCTTGACTACATTCTGTTGCTTAGTATTTTTTTAATTGAAGTATAATTGACATATAGTATTCTATTAGTTTCAGGTGTTCATCATAGTGATTTGGTATTTTTATACATTAGGAAATGATCCCCATAATAAATCTGGTTACTGTCTGCTACCACACAAAGTTATTACATTGTTACTGACTAACTTCCCTGTGTTGGGCTTTACATCCCCATGACCCATTTATTTTATATCTGGAAGCCTAAACCTCTTTTTTTTTTTTTTAAGGATTTCATTTATTTATTTGACAGAGCACAAGCAGGGGAAGCGGCAGGCAGAGGGAGAGGGAGAAGCAGGCTTCCCACTGAGCAGGGAGCCCAATGTGGGGCTTGATCCCAGGACCCTGAGATCTCAGCCTGAGCCAAAGGCAGATGCTTAACCAGCTGAGCCACCCAGGCGCCCCAAGCCTGAACCTCTTAATTCCCTTCACCCATTTCACCCGCACCCCAGTCACTCCCCACTCTTGTAACTAATAGTTTGTTTCCTGTATCTGTGA